TGAGGACGTGGTTTAGTGGTGGACTTGGCAGTGCTAGGTTAACAGTTGGACTCGATGATCTTAAGGGTCTTTTCCAACCTTAACGATTCTATGATTCTATATCCTAGAATAGAGGCCTGTGTGGTGGTTTTTTGCACTGTTTTTTCATTTGGTTTGGGTTTTTTAATTGCTAATTTGGTTTTAATACAGCATATTTTAAAATAAATGGTCTGAACGGTGCCTGCTTCTGAAGTCATGGAAATCCTGCATTCTCTCTCAAACACGTCTAGAAATCTGTTTTCCTGTAAGAACTGATTTGTATGCAGAGTGTGTCATCTTAAACACTGACTATTCCAAGCCCTGGCAAAACAGGTTTCATATTTGCTAAGTTGTTTACTGGTTAAAAACTGTCTTTTGTTTACAGTTGCAAAGGTCAGCAGCTATATCAACACTAGCTTTTTCTTTTTTTGTATTTTTGTATTTTTGAGCTTACAGAAATATAAATTGAAAGAGTAAATTACATTGAAATGTCCTTAAAACAGTAGATTTAGGTGTGTTCAGCTTTGGTACTCAGTTTGTGGCATAATGCAGTATATCCAGCAGTCTGTAGAGCACATATTTGAAACAGAAGCAGAATGATTAATAACCGCAATAATGGCACAGTATTCAGAGAGTTTGTTACGTAATTACAGTCATGACGAGCAAAACAGACAGTCTGGAGAAGTGGCTTATCCACTGAGTTAAGATATCCTACGTGAATTCGTGGTGTCACATGTGTGGTGTGTAAGGAGAGAGGGTCCCAGTGAGAACATGTACTGATGTTGGTTTTAGGTTCCCTCAATTCTGCTACACAATGCTATAGATAAATGTACAGACATGCGTGCACATGTTCATGTATATGCACACGCAAGCTGTCTCTTCCTATGTACTGCCTGTGGGTTAGGTATAAAAGCTTCTGGTCCAGCAGTGCTTGAATTATGCCTATGAGTGGATCATGTAATGGTGTCTATATTAGGTTGAATGCTTGTTTTGAAGTAGAATAGAGCCCTTTCGTCCCTCTCCAAGTAAAGAGGAGTCCTTTCCCTCATTGAAGCTTATAATAAATGTTTTTAAGGAGTGGTGTTTTAAAGAACAGAGATTTTTTTCTGGTAGATGAGTCGCTTGCGTGGAAACGTGTGTGTGTGAGACTGTGTACATTTACATATTTCATGTTTTGTGTGTACATGTCTCTGTATATATGTAATTATAAGTTTTTTACAATCACAAACATGACTTGTTAATGCAGATTTGATTTTTTTTTTTTTTCTGAATACAAAATATCCATTTGTAAATACTGGAAAAACTACCAAAGTGGTGATTCTGCACCTTCTTAACAAAGGCAGGAATAAAGTTGATTGCCTAAGGTCTTGTGTGAAGAGCTTCATGCAACCACACTGGAAATGCAGTAGTTCTGCATTAAATTCTCCAGTGATTCTCTTGCTGTGAGTTCAGAAATACTTGATACAACTGTCTTTTGTCTCTGAAAAATTCAGTTGACTTTTCACTGCCTTTATTTTCTGCTCACCTTGTTACACAGATGAGCCTCGACTCTGAATTCACCAGTTCTCTGTCAGTACACCCGTGGTCATGGAGCCCTGCTCTGAGCATTGTGGCTGCTGGGAAGGTCCTGTCCATAGTATCTAGAGCAGTAAGAAGGCAGATTTCCGAAGCAGCACTTGAACTGAAGGAATTCTTAGCTGCCTAAAAGCAGATGCTGATTGTGAGCAGTAGCTTTGGTTCTTTAGGCTTCTGTGCCTAAGAGGAGGATGGGTTGGGCAGTTTGTCTCGCTGCTGCACCTTTTGCTGAAAGAAATAAATGCATAAGGTACTCTGCCCCTTTAGTGCATGAGCTTCTGTGGTTATCCTTTCCCCTACTTTGTGATGAAAAATGTTTGAGGTGCCCCTGTGGTATTAAATTGTCAGCAGTGTCTCTGAAAACTTTAGAGGATATAAAGCGTATGCAACTTGAGGCACAGACGTTACTAATGTATGCAGGTGATATTGTGTTCCTATGAAAAGACCTAACAGCATCTGTCCCAGAAACATTAAATGTAATATCCAGATTTGGAGTCATCTCAGGCTACTGGATGCAATAACAATACCCTTGTCAAAACGCTTTCCATCAGTTTTATTTGCCCTGTGGAAATTGAAATGGAAAACCAAGACTGTAACTTACTCAGGGATTGAATTAAAATATGTGGTTAAACTGAATGGTTGAGGAGAGCATGGGCTAGGTAATCACAGAAAGAACAAAGGGATCCTTGAAAACTGAACTTCACGCAATCTCAGCATATGGGCGAGTCCCTGTGAACTGCATTGCATTAGACCTAAATTATGCAGCAAGGCCTCCTGATGTATGTAAAAGCTGCGCTGAGTTCTGCATAACCCTTTGCTGATTTCCTGGAGTTTCTTTTCAGCTAGTCTAAAAGTGCACCAAAAAGGCAGGAAAAAATGAGGCTAATTAATAAGTGATCTTTATTTTGCTTTGTAGCAGATGAATGCTAGTCCAGAGTGCTGTGGAGTTTTTTTGTTCTGTTCCAATCAGTTCTGGCTGGTGACAGGGATTTGGTAAGCACATGTGGAGGGAGAGGGGGTGAGAAGGGAAAAGCAGAAGGGATGGGAGGCATGCCTGTGGAGGTGAGGGGCAAGGTTTGCACATGTGGGGAAGCAGCGTCCTCTCGAGGGTACTTGAAAAGCTTTCTTGTCCGTTCAGGTACGTCTTAGATACTTCTGATGTCCTAAGATAACTTCTGCTCACCTTCAGGACAAGGCTGCAACATTTTCCCTTTTTGCACCTTTTTCTCAGGGAATTGTAATTTAACTCCTCTACTACATCCCACATCCTCTGTCACAAGCAACTCTGATGGAAATGGGGTAGCAAACAAGTCAGGCTCTCTAACTTAGAGGAAATTACAGCCCCAGGGGAAAAAGCAGGTGAGCAAGCTGAGGGCAAGAAAATGACCGTTTTTGTTGGATTGTGGAGTAGCCAGAGAAATCTGCATGATCTCTAATGAAGGCAATTAAGAGAGCGTTTGTCCGGCTACTCACAATCATAGTATGCATAGCACACATCAGTGCCAGTATACCTCAGAGGCAGCAGAGATAACGAGCTCAAATACTATCATGCTTTTCTGCCATTCCCTTTTCAAACATACAAAAAGTAATTTCCCTGTTAGTTTCGGGGAAGTTGGCACAATAAGAAATGAAGGCCTTATATAAAGGCAACTTCAGTATTTGCCAAATTTTATCCTTTATTCAGTGACACCTGACACAATTCAATTATGGCTTGTCAAAAGCATTCTCCACTGTGGAATAGAGTGGAAAAACAGGATTACACACAAATGGCTGTGGACCGTTACAGTCAACTGGACGACTAATGAACTCTTGGCTTTCTTACTAAGATATGCAAAGAGAAGGTGAAGCACGCTAAAAGAGGGGTAAAATGAAAGGATCAAGAATACAGCAGGGGAAGAAAAATGTGAAGCACTGGAGAAGAGATGCCATGGCTTTTAGCATGGAAGAGCAGTAATGCTGCACTCTGTGCAGGAAAAGGTCTGTGAGTGTCTG